GGTATAAATATTTACTTAGGGATCACTAGGTATAATCTAATCCAATGATCCCTGTAGCGATCACCCCCCCCCCCCCCCCCGATCCCAATGTCGTATATCTATACTACTTCTTTCGTTCCAAAATCCATCAATGAGGGTCCTTCAAAAAGTTAAGAATCCATGCAGAACCAGGTACAATAAAAAATCTGAGGGGGGCCATATTACTCGATTTTTTAGCCCCGCGAGTCGTGGCTCAGATTACAAAAGGAAAAATTTATCTGATAACGTTTCTTGCTCACAAATGCTTAACTCAATGAAGCCTCAGAAATGCAAAAGAGTAAACTACCAAATTAAATTCACACATAAGTTCAGCATTGGTTACAATTTAGCTAACTTAAAAAAGGAACATTACATTAAAAACTTTTAGAGTAATTTGAAACATCTTTCAGGAGACAAAAAATCATGAAAACATCGACAGAAAAAACAACCTTTCATTTGTCGAGTTGTCTCAAAATTTGATAATTAGTCTCGTGGTTGCGAGGTTCTGCAATACTTGCGAAGTCTTATAGCTCATTTGCCGTGACAACCAAGACTTTTCCATGCGGTTTAGGTACTTCAAGGAAAGAGCTCATCAGCGCTACCCGGGTCGAGATCCCGCTCAAAAACTGCTCAAGAGTTGAACGGTTTGAGCGGTTGAAAAAACCGCTTAAACCGCTCAAACCTTGCTTAAAAAAACCGCTCAAAGTAGCTCGTTCGGCTGCATGCAATTGCTCACCCACCTATCAATTTTTTTTCTCAGTCCGCTGAACTTCATTTAAAATTTTCGAACGTTAAAAAAAATCGCTCGAAACTTTTGTTAGAGAATGTTACATACCCGCTGTCTTCCCAAGTTGAGGTTGTTTGCCTCTTTTGAAGCAAGATTTGAGCGGTTTGATTGGTTTTTTAGACAATTGCGCTCAAAATCTTACTTCAAAAAGAACGGTTTGAGCGGTTTTTGGGCGGTTTATTAAAAAAAAAATACGCTCAAAAACCGCTCAAGTCTTGAACGGATTTTGAGCGGATTTTTAAGAAAAACCGCTCGAAACTGTTCAAATCTTGCGCGGTTTTTGGGCAATTTTTTCAAAGAAAAACCGCTCAAAAACCGCTCAAACCGCTCATTATGAAGCAAGATTTTGAGCGCAATCGTCTAAAAAACCGTTCAATCCGCTCAAATTTTGCTTCAAATTAGGTGAAAACCTCGACTCGGGTATAAAATTAGTGTTGGTAAAAATTCGTCTCAATTCAGATTAAGATATGAATACGAATGAGTGAGAGAAATGGTCTTGCCATTTATTAGACTTCATTTTAACGTTCAATAGAATTAATCACTTGATTACTGCAAAATTTTCAGGTTACTTAATTGAACGCCCATCCAAGGCATTAGCATAAATAAAAAAGATGTGGGACCAAATTACTCAGTATTTTAGACCCGCGAGTCGTGGCTCAGATTCCAGAAAGAAAAAATTATCTGATAACGTTTGTTGCTCAGAAATGTTTAACGCAATGAAGCGTGAAGAAAATGCAAAAGAGTAAACTCACAAACTGAAGTTACACACTAGTTCAGCTTTCGCTACCGTTTAGCTAACTGAAAAATAGGAGCTTAACAGAAAAAAATTTTAGAGTAATTTGAAACATATTTCAGGAGACAAATAAATCCTGGAAACATCGACAGAAAAAGAAACATTCCATTTGTCAAGTTATCGCTGTGTTTGATAATTAGTCTCAAGTTTGGGAGGTTCTGAAAAACTTGCGAAGCATTATAGCACCTTTGCTGTTACAACCATGACTTTTCTGTACAGTTTAGGTACTTCAAGAAGGAAAGCTCGTTAGCGCTACCCGGGTCGAGATACCGCTCACAAACCGCTCAAGATTTGAACGGTTTGAGCGGTTGGAAAAACTGCTCAAACCGCTCAAATCATGCCTTCAAAAACCGCTCAAAAGACGCTCATTCGGCTGTATGCGATTGCTCACTCACCAATCAATTTTTTTTCTCAGTCCGCTGAACATCATTGACAATTTTCGAACGTTAGAAAAAAATTGCTGGACAGTTATATTAGAAAATGTTACATGCCCGCTGGCTTCCCAAATTGAAGTTTTGAGCCTCTTTTGAGCGGTTTGAGCGGTTTTTTAGACAATTGCGCCCAAAGTCTGCTAAAAAAATGAACAGTTTGAGCGATTTTGGCGGTTTATCAAACAAAAAAAAAAAGCTCAAAAACCGCTCAAATCTTGAACGGTTTTTGGGCGGGTTTTTTAAGAAAAACTGCTCAAAATCGTTCAAATCTTGCGTGGTTTTTAGGCATTTGTTAGGAAAAATTGCTCAAAAACCGCACAAACCGCTCATTGTGAAGCAAGATTTTGAGCGCAATCGTCTAAAAAAAGCGCTCAAACCGCTCAAATCTTGCTTCAAATTAGGTGAAAAATCTCGACTCGGGTATAAAATCAGTGTTGGTGAAATTTTTCTCTGATTTCAGATTTAGATATGTATACGAAAGAGTGAGAGAAAGGATCTTGACGGTAAATTAGACTACATTTTGATGTTCTTTAGAATTAATCACTTGATTTCTGCAAATTATTCAGGTTATTTAATTGAACGCCCATCCAATGCATCAGCATTTTAACTTTTTTTTGGATTTTAATTTTTTTGTATGTTTTAACCGACCATTACGAGGCCACACTTTGCAATGGATAGGCGCACAATTCTGTGTCTGTATGTTCCTGGATTCCAGAGATAAGTCTTTAAACATGTTTCAAAAGGTAAACGTGTTCCATTTTCAAAATTTCCGTAGATTTCGTAGGCACAGATGTTTTGTTGCGGATTCCGCAACGAGCGAATTCACGTAGTTGTTCCGGAATTCGCAAATGTAAGGAGAGTCCGCAGATTCAAGTGGAATCCGCAATTTCATACTGATCCCGCTTACAATTTGTGGATTCAATTTACAATTTGCGGATTTAGAAAAAAACAATGGGAGGAACTGGAAAAGAGCCAAGAATTTAAATCCATTTTCCACGCAAAACTATAATGCAATATAATTCGTTTTAAAAGCCATTAAAAAGGGTTATATAATAATTAGAATGACATTGAGACGGATTTTTTCATCTTTAATTTTGTTTCGCGTCGTGCAAATTTCATTGAATGAGTCATGCGGAATTTTCGCAAAGCCTGCGTACGGTCAACTCCATTTCTAAATCTAAGTTTTCTCAAATTGCAAAAAGATTCCGTGATCCTCCCCCTAACTTATGCCCGTTTGCCCCCTTACATTCCACCACCCAACGTTTGCCCCTTTGCTAACCCCCCCCCCCCCCCCCTCTTCCCACACACACACCACGCCCGAACCATTCCTCCAAACTGACCATCTGAACCACCTTCTCCCCCTCCTGAGCAGCCACCCCACCTCTTTTCGGGGAGAGGGGCTCGTTCTTGAGTGCTTGAGGAGTAATCGTTCTTGGGTGAGGGGGTTCAAGTGGGGGGGGGGGGGGCTGAGAAATTGAGTCACAAAAACCAAAAATTAAAAATAAAATAAAATGAAATTTCCTTGTCTTGATTTATTAACTGGATAAAATAGTCAATCATTTTTCATTAGCAATCGATTTCAAGGCCTCATTAAAAATAGCAATTTAATCATTTTTTGTTGGTTATAATCGATTACTTTTCTCTTATACAGACACAGACAATAAAACTCAATCCTAATCGATCTTTATCCGTCGCACTTTTGTGCTGCCCGACCATCAGCATTTCTCCGTAATTCTAGTTGTTCCAACGTAATATTTTTGCTCGGTGTGGTTTTTTTATTCAGTCAATTTTCACCGATCGAAAAATTGATTTTCAACAAAATTTTTATACCCCATTGAAGATATCGACTTCTTGAGTTCAAATGTGAAAAGTTTTTTCACCTCCAATTTTTTTCGTAAAGTTCTGGAGGTTTGAAAATTGCCAATTTTGACATGTTCTGGACTAAATTATGCGGCTCTTTTCCAGTTCCCCCTTTTCAAATTCAATTTTGAAATTTTTTTTGAACGTTGTCATAATGCAATGAAACTTGGCGTGGTGAACAAATCGACAACTGTGAACAGATTTGTTCTTCATACTTCACAGCGTAACATCACGCATTTAGCCGTAATAGCACTTAAAACGAACATAAAACTCGGTATTTTAAAGAGGGGAACTGCTAAAGAGCCAACTATGCGTGGTTTAAAAAGTTTATTCTTAATGCTGAGAGCGTAACGTGAATTATTTATGCGTGGCAAATTATCCACGCAAATTATGCGGCGCAAAAATTGTTCCAAATTGAATTGAAACTAGCTAATTGGTGGTCGTATCAGTTTCGTACGACTCAAAATTTTAGACTTTGATATTGTATTTTGTATGGGTTTTCATTATTTTCTTTTCCCAAAAACTATTCGATATCAATTAAGGAACAATCGGAACAATCAAGGCTTTGCCCTGATATATAGGCAGTCTTGTTGTATTTTGATTCTGGACTTTATGGAGCTTGAATACGTCATTACTTCCGAGTTGAGAAAAGTGCTTATTCATACAATTTCTCACTTGTCTGGAAAATTGTCTTATAACTATGATAAGCATTTTCTTGTTGTATGAAAAACTGTGACTAGCATTTTTTCGTTAATTCACAGTGCGTAACTAACATTTTTTTGTTTTATGGACGTGTGACAAACATTTTCTCCTTGAATGAAAATTTACAGCCCGCACCGAGCGCTCATGGATCATAATCGATTATGTTGTCATAATATGGTGAGCATCTATAAAATGACAAAATAATCGATTATAATCCCTTAAAAATGGATTTTAATTCTATTATTTTTTATCCCAATAAAATCCATTATAATCGATTATAATCGATTATAATGGACTTTTTCGAGGGGTTATTCATGAAATTTACATTTTTGTTCAAAATTATCTCATTTCCTGTTTAGTGTAGTTGCTACGTGTTATGTTTCATAAAATGTTACATTAAGGAAAAAAATTTATATATTTTTTTGTCTCTACTTTTTCTAATTCATCGCAGTTTAACACTTCATTTTATTACCCCCCCCCCCCAGCCAGTTAAGCCCCCAGTCCCAGAATACTAGTATACTACTCCACCCCCCCCCCCCCCCCCCAGTTTACCCCCTCCCACCATTTATCCCCCATTTAGTAAAAGACAGGGCATAAATTCTGCAAACTTCTAGCAAAATTTGCAAAATTTTGCAAAAATAAACGAATTTAGTTCTAAAAATGAAATGGATTATAATCAATTATAATGGATTATAATGGATTTTCATTTCAAAATAATCGATTATAATGGATTATCTTGGCAAAAATAATCGATTTCAGTGACAAAATTAAAGGATTATAATTGATTATAATGGATTATAATTGATTATAATGGATTATAATGGATTATATTTGTTCGAAAATAATCGATTATAATGGCTATATAATCGATTTCCTGGTCTGAGTTTTACATCCGTAATGGATTATAATCGATTATTTTTGTCTCGGGAATCCATTTTAATCGATCAGAATCCATGGGTGCTTGGTGCGGGAACCTTTTTGAGTTTGGCTTCATGTTTCTCATGTTTTTGGGCTTGGTTCTGAAACAAAATAACCAAAGATAAACGATAAACTGCATTTGTCAATATTGTTTAAAAATCTGCGCATAGTTTTACCAACGTTTCAGCTAAAAAGCCCCTTGTTCAAAAGTTGGAGTTTTCTTAAATTGCGGTCTGTTTTGCATACTTTAGGTTCATGTAACTGAATTTTAAAAATTTCTAGTTTCGCCACTCAAAACATACATTCTGATTTTTTTGTTTCTTTTATGTGAAAAAACTTGTGCGCTACGAACAAACGAAAATGAATGCAAACTTTTTCTCGGAAAATATTTGCTGGTGCATATAAATGATGATATGGAAAAGAACAAAAAATTGTCTCAAATTAGTCTCGATGAAAAAACTAGGCATTTAATTTTTATATTTTACAACTGTTTGACTAGCTTTTCTTACTTCAAAAAATTCATCCGTTCCGTTTTTCTGGTGCTTGTATATCTAAATTTAATTTTAATGCCATTACTTTTTGTAATAATGATGAACGTCCTCAAATTAACGATAAACATCCTCAAATGAACGTGCTCAAAATTTAAACATTGTTTTGACGTGAAAAAATGCTATTTTTGAAAACAAAATGCGAGTTGCACATTTCTCTCATCATGAATTTGTATCACTGGTCTTTTTTCAAAGCCGGCTCTGTTTATGAAATTGTACTACTAAATACTTTTTGTATTGATGTCATCCCGGACAATAACTCAGTTTTCAACAATTTCAGTTTTCCTGAACATCTTCATCATGAAGCACACATTAATGACTCTTTGTGAAAAGCGTTTTTGAAATTTGTAGTTTGAATTGTATTTAGCTCACATATCGGTTAACCGACCGAAGATACATTTTTTCTTGACTAAACACTCTTCTCGGTCAAAAGTTTTTGTGAGGTCCAAAAATACACTTTTTAGATGAGGATTTTGTTCTTATGATTCAAAATAAATCGCAATCAAATTTTTCTGTAGATATATTGTTTCGAGGAAAAATGCGCACCAAAAGAATACTTGAAAATTCAACTTTACATAATTTTGGGTAGATGCAAACTATTCTTAAATTAAATACAGTTCGCTAGATTTCGCATTGCATAAATTTCAAAACCAATTGCTAAAACAGCAAATGCTGGACACTTCACAGCCACTGAATTCCCCAGTCCTCCCTGGTTGTTGTTGCTGTTGGGCTCTGGAATGAAGCTATCAGGTGCCACAGAGCTTCCACTTAGATATCCTACAGTAATATTGATCTCCATCAAAACACTGTCTCCTGCGATGCCGTTGAAGCCTAAAACAAACGCTTAGCCTATGTTAAGCTTAAAAGAGGAATTTTCGTTACACAAATACAGAATGTGTTCGTTAGTTAAGAACTGAGAAATAATCTCGTTGTAGGGATCAACCGTACAATTTCACCCCCTAATTCGATTTGAGGGGAGGACAATTGTACGATTGATCCGACTTTTTAGTAGTTGAGCGATAATCAGAACAGATCAAAGAGTGGAAATTGAGTTAAGTTGTATTGGTTAACTCATAGAGTAATTTCGGATAGGGTACACCGTCTGCTCGTCACGCTATCTTATTTTCGGCCGGATAGATTCGTGTTACTTCTTAGTCTAATACCGATCCTAATCTTACTCTTATATCTACTAGTCTCAGGGTGTTTAACTAGTCTCTGCTAGGTTCAATAGATCTAGAGTATACTGGCTTATTGCGACTGCTGAAGTTCTCTTGGAGAAGTAACTAATTTCTAAGTTAAATTCAAATCTCTCTGGTGCTGAAATTACAAGTAATTTCAGCACTTACAAATAAGTGGTTTGTTAGTTTTATGGAATATGATTGGTTAATATTAAATATTTTATAGTGATAAAATATGTAATTTATCCAATAATAAAATGTAGTTTAGATCAGGTTCCACCCATCCGGGGTTTACAGAGTTTTTAGATTTATCTTTCTTCCTGTAAATGAAGGATGGATGATGAACGTTGGTATTTGGCGAAAATCATTTTCTTATCCGGTTCCTCTTGAAGAAGAACGTTCCAGGACGTTGGAATCAGGGATAGGAAATTGTTATCTTGTCATTCGACAACTACTGTGTTCCCCAATGAAATCAATCCGATTTCAAAACGGTTTGCTATGTCAGATTCTTCTGTATTAGTAGAGAACTGTTCTGTGTGCAGCCTCGTCTGGGAATGGCGGGAAAATCGTGTTTGGAAGGGATGCCTTGTAACTCGGATCTGTACGTATACTTGAACATCGAGGTGGTCATTGGTCTAGTTCAATGAAGTCCTTTTCTGCGAAGTCAAGTCGTACTCTAAATCCTTTGAGTCGTGATTGTGGACGGCATGTCGGTTGTGTTTAGCCATTCTTTTGTTCGAATGTGATGGGATCGTCTAGTCTTTGGATGTTCCTCTTTGTTGTTGTGTATGATCTATATACTGCATAGTATAATTTACATTTTATAAATTTTTGTTAATTTGGTTTTTAGTCGTGATCTTAGTTAGTTGTTTTCACAAAAGCGTTTTATTTTAGTTTAGTTATTTTGAAGAGTAACTCACCCTTGAGTACCTCTTATTAAAAACCTCTTATTAAAGTGTGGTCACAAAGCGTGGGTGTAGCGCGGTGGGTTAGGCCGGCTATAAGCATGCTCAGGTTGTCCTTCTCTGATGGGTTAGGCCAGGAGTGGGAGTATAATTTCATGCTGTTTCTTTCAGAGGTCCTGTTATGTGATAACATTTTATGTTGGTTTTTTCTGGTCTTTCTTATGTTACTTTGGTTGTGTCCTTTTTTTTCAAAAATTAAATTGTTTTTTGTTTGAGTTTGTCTTAAGACTTTTTTGTGTTTATTATTTCTTTCTTAGACTTTATAATAGTCTTTAAAAGAATAAATTATCCAGTTTTAAGCTGGGTTAATCCGGTTTGGGTACCATTGGTTTTCTTTTCTTAGTCATGCTGTTATTTTATGGTTTGTGGTGTTTAGCAAGCTGCGTTGGTTAGTTTGGCTTAGTATATAACTACTTTCCAACCGGGTTAAAGAAAAGTTTGAAACTTGCAAATGATTGTTAGAGTTGTTGTTAGTGAAAACTTGAAACACGAAATCATTATTTAAACAATTCTTTGTGGGTGAGCTGTGCGAGTTTGGATAGAATTCCTGTGCGAATGAATGAAAATTTTGAAAAGGTTAGTACTGCTTTCTCATTTTATGAATTTGTTGCATTGAAATTGAATTTTACTGCTTTTTGGGAATTTTAAAATTATAAATTTTTCATCGTATTTACTTTTACTGCTTCTTTGGGAAATAATTTATAAATCAAATTACTACATTATGTATGAATTTTACTACATTATTTAGTGCAAAAGATTAAGGAGTTTAAATATGATTTGACAAGTTTGTATTTTTAGTTGTCTTTTTTCTGTTTTGTAGATGATTGTGGTGTGAAGACTAAAAGAATAAATTAAACATTGATAGAAAATGGTTAGCACAATTTTAAATTTATTAGTTAAAAATATTTCAATTCATATTTACCTTATTCATCTTGGAAAAAGCCATGTGGGAAGATGTCGCGAATTAAGTCTGATGTTGTTAACAACTTGGCGAGTATGCGAATGACATTTTTAGTTTGTAGCAGTGGCCAAAGCAATTGAAGTGCGTTGATGGTGTTTAGTTCTTCTGTGCCTATTGCGAACTCATAAGGTGTGTTTTGGATTAGATTGTAAATTTTATTATTGTATTTAGTGTTATGAATAAATTCTAGTATGGGTATTTCGATAGGTTGTATGGATTCATGCGGGATAATGAAGAGTCTTGATTCTTCATCATTGAAGGTCTTCGTGATGGGACAGATTATATACATTTGGGTAACTGGGTCGTAACTGCGGAGGATGCCGGGGAGGTTAGTATTTTTAATGCAATATGTAAAATTAAGAAAGAATGGTGATGTGTATTTCGAGTTGATAAACTGAAAACAGTGGTGAGGTTGTCGTGATGGTGTGTGTAAATCATCAAAGTGGTTTTGTATAAAACGATAATATGTGTAAGTGTGCGTTTGTTTAGTACGTAACATTATATCGTGGGAACAGTGCAAATCGCGTTCCTGTGGTGAAAGAAAGTGAAAGGTTAGTGAAAATAACTGAAATTTATCATAGAAGCTTTCATATGCTTGTATGTCAACTAGTGCTTCTAAAATTATATTATCGTGCTTTTTATCAAAAATATTAAGTGTAAATAAGTAAGGTGTTTTAATAAAAAAATTTCAGTTAGTTGTGGGTTTGCAAAGCGGTCTTCGTCTAAAAATCGATCTTGGTAAGGACGGATGATGTTATGGTCGTAGTATTCTATTGAAAAATCATTAGCTCGGGTTGCGGTGAATGTTTTTAATAATTTTTTATATCCAACGTAAGTAAATTGTCGAGGTGTTAATGAAGTGGTGAGTCTATATAGTATATTTTTGTTTTTCTCAATATTTTAATTAGTATTAGTGAGTGGTAGATAAAGGGGTTAGTATAGTTATAGTAAGCTGTCCAATGAAGTGTTGGCATTAAAACGTACTCATCAACAAAATTTCGTGCTTCATTAGTAGTGGTAGAAGTATTTAAGGTATATTGTGGAAATGAGGGTAGGGTTATTTGAAGGACATTTTTTGTGTTTGTGTGATCGGGATGGTTGATATATTCTTTGGCTGTTCCAGGTTTGGTTGTAAATGGGTGGTTTGGGAACTTTCTTTTAAGAGTGCGGTAAGGTCGGTTAGTGCTGGTAGGTGTTTTGGTGGATGTGGATGATTGAGCTAATGATGGAGTGTAAGCTGAAGAGGGTGCAGGAGTTGGTGGATTTGATGATGTTACTGTTGATGATACCTGATGTATTGTAAGAGTGTGGGGTGTGTTAATTGTTGTTGTAGTGTAATAAAATTGTCAAGTTCTTCGGAAATTTGGATGTTATCTGGGGAGTTATTATGTGATCTGTCGGAATTAATTGGAGAATAGGTTGGGGTTACTTGGGAAGCGTAAGAAGGAGTGGAAAGGGATGGGAGTGGTTGGCTGTTTTGGATGGGTCGAAAGGGGGTTTTTGCAAAAATTGAAGAGTTGGTCTGGGTATGGGTAGGGGGCGATGGTTCGGAGTCTGCGAACTCGTCGGAGTTTCTACATCGGAGTTGTTAAATTGCGAGATGGTATGGAAAATTGAAATATCTGAGTTAGTATCAGAATTCATGCTTGATGGTATGTTAATAACTGGAGAATTGGTTGGCGGGAAAGCAAAAAGTGGGATAATTGGGATTTGGGTTTGGAGGTTGGCTGGGTGGGAATTTGAGCGATGGAGGGATCCAATTTGTCGGCTCATCGTGTGCTAAAAAAATGATTATTTTGAGAGTGAAAAGTGTTGGTATGAGGTTGTTCGATAATTTGTTCATAAGTATTATCAATTTGTGAATGATGTGTCATTATGTGTTGTATGGGACTTTTTGTTGTATTTGGTCTAAAATTTGGATTATTTGTGATTGCTAGGTTTCGAAAATTTCGGGGAACTAATGATAATGGACGGTTTTGTGGTAAGGGTGGTATCTGTGGTGCTGTAGGTGTTGTATCTACATTATTATGTTCTTCGTCATATGTGTTTTATCTTGTGGATATTTTTGTATTATATTCTTTTCTTTGTGCATCTAGAAGTATTTTGTTGATTGATGATGAATAGATTCCAAAAAATCCTGCAAATAGTATACGTGCTACACTTGCTTGGCGATTTACTTGTGTGTGTATAGCGCATGTGTTATAGATTCCTTTTAACAGTGAGAAAAGAAATCCTATAAAATTGAACATAGCGTATAAGATAGTTAATTTTCCTAAGATGTAAAAGCGCCATCCTAGAATGGCGAGAATTTCGTTTTTTAAGGTTACAAAACTGAAAATATTTATGGGTGAAATATCTTGTGGTCTGTATTTTTCACCGTTTAAATATATGTAGTCTTTAATATCCTGAAAATATCCGCTGTAGTCTTGTGTATAAATGTCTGCAAATCATGCGGTTTCGGCAAGTGTTCTTAAGTTCTGGTCGATTGATTGTCGTTGTATTGTGTCCATTTGTGTTAGTAATTCTTGAAATTGTTGTGTTCTGTTCTAATGTGATGTTGTATATCAGATTTAGAATATATTCCAATTGATTGTAAATCAATATTTGGGTTACGTGCGCTAGCTCGGATGCTTTCGGGTGAAAATTTTTTGAGTGGTTGCATTAATGTAGGATATTGTGTAAGTAGATAGTATTTATCTTCGTCTGCGGTATCCCAAAAATATGTTC